CTTTTCAAGAAACAAGTATTTTCAGGGCATTCTAAGAAGTTAAGTTTAAAATGTTTGTATAAGAAACAGCTACTACCTAAGAGAAACACTCACTATTTACATATTTTTTATTAAAGTCAGAACTCTTGGGGTTCGGTACACGGCTCAGTTAATTGGGTGCTAGACTTGCAAGCACAAGGACCTGAGTTCGATCCCCAGAACCCACATAAAAAATTTAAAAACAAAACAAAACTGGGCTTGATGGCACACGTTTGTAATCCAGGCACCAGGGAGAAGGAGACAAGTGGGTTCTTGCTGCATGGATTGTTAGCCTAGCTCAAGTGTCAGTTTCCAGGTCAGTGAGCCCCTCTGCCTCAAATAGAAAGGTGGGCGGCACCTGAGAAACAACATCCATGGCTATCCTCTGGACCCCACATGAACTAGCACACACATGTGTTCTCATGCATATGTGAACACACACACACACATAACCTTGTGTGTCCCCTCAGAAATCAGTAGGCAATACTGTGGCCTGCCTTGTGAGAGATCACAGTGGGAAACCCTGGTTCCCCAAGACTCAGACCTCATAGCCTCTGGTTATGAGGAAGTAGGGAAGTGCCAGCTCTGCCTACCAAAGTCTACACAACATCACCACGAGACAGCTTTGATTAACCAATTAGGATGTGCACAAGAGAAAACATTGAGTCTTATATTCATGAAAGTAACTGCACATTACTTCCTACTGTAATACAGTGTATGGAAGAATGTTTGTTTTAGAAAAGTGAAAACCTTAGAGTTCAGCTGGTGGTCTCCAGTCCTGCCTGAAGGTCTTCCCGCACTCCTGAGTCCAGAGAAGGTTGCACAGAACCCCATCCCATACCCTGTAGGAACCTAAACACTTCTCAGGATTCCTCCAAATTTCCAGAGAGCATCTGGCCCTCAGCTCTCCCATCTGGGAATTAGTTCAGTTGATGGACCACATTACCACAGCCCATTTGCCTTCCTCCTCCCTCTGCTTCTGCTCAGACAGCTCTCTCCTTGGTCCTCTCAGCCCCTGACTCCAGACTCAAGCTCCTCATAGTGTGTGCATCTATCACAATCCTCGATGGCAGTCAGGAAGAGGTTATATTAAACACCATAGATGCTCCTTGTGAACATGGCAGCTCACTGGAGCGCTTTTAAACACTGGTCCATCCCCTTGTGTGGTGTGCACCCTTTGTCCTGCACCTCTCTTCCTGTACCTCTCTTCCTGTTCCTCTCTTCCTGCACCTCTCTTCCTGCACCTCTCTTCATATACCTCTGTTCCTGCACCCCTCTTTCTGTTCCCCTCTTCCTGTACCTCTCTTCCTGCACCTTTCTTCCTCTACTTCTCTTCCTGCACCCCTCTTCCTGCACCTCTCTTCCTGTACCTCTCTTCCTGCACCTCTCTTTTCTTGTTTCTCTTTTTTTTTCTCCCAAAGGGTCCTCAATTTTTCATCAGAAGCCATACAGAGCAGCCAGCTCTCTTGAGTCCCTGCTGCCAAAAGCAATTCCAGGCAGGTCTCTATTATGCATCTTAAAAACAAATCAAAAGGACCTTTAATGTCATTGGACTTATATTTTTAGAAAACACTTGTTATTGTTAATAGCAACTTATTTTCCTCTCATGCATCTCTGTAAGCTCAATTCCTTTCAACAGTCCATTCTAAGCCTCGAGCTTAGATAGGTGACAACATCTCTGTCTGTGTGTCAAACCAGAGAGCAATTTCCTCACTGGCTTCACCATGGCAAAGTAGACTCGCACATGTCCAGGGTTCAGCTTTGCTTCACAGTCCCCTACCTTTTGATACTGTGACATAGCATTGTCATCTATGAAGGTCATCCTTGAGGCCCACATAATCAAGTCTCTCTCTCTCTCTCTCTCTCTCTCTCTCTCTCTCTCTCTCTCTCTCACACACACACACACACACACACACACACACACACACACAATCTGTCTGTCTGTCTTTCTCTCTCTAAGCAAGTTTTATGATTTTATGTTGAGCCACATTCACAGCTGCCCTGGGCCTTGGGTTGGATACATCTACCTATCCTGCCCAGTGTTCCAGGGAATCTTCCTTCATCCTTCATCATGCTCAGCAGCCTGCTTTCCCGAAGCCCATCTCCTCTGTGTTTTTTCCCATGCTCACTCTGTGTTTCCCGAATGCAGCTGAGCACAGAGACGATAATGGACTCACTCGTGAATCTCTGGGTGGTATTTGGAGGTGGCTTCTTCCCCGTGCTTTATTTCACTGGCTGCTCTCGCAACTGTGGACAGTAGTAGGACAGTCTCTTTATTCGATCCCAACACCTCCTGGGAGGTAATACGTTGTCCATAATATTGTCGCCGGTTTCCTCGGCTCCATTTCCTCCACAAATTCATTTATTCAGCACAGAGTCGTTGCCTGCTATGAGCTAAGAGGTGGGGACAGCTGTGGGCGAAAGCCCTTGCGCTCCTGGAGATTGTTTCTAGAAGCAGTGAGAGGTACTGAAATATTTGGGAGCTGAGCATTTTCAGGTGGCACTAAAGCAGTGTGTTCCTGTTTCAGAACCGGGGTTGAAGGCTTTCTTTCCCACAAACAGAAATGAGGTTCCTTTTTACCTACTGGCAGTCCTCCCCTCTCCACGTCTCCAGCTCTCCCACCAGCCCGCCTGTTCGTGTCACACTGTGATTGAGTGTGGGTGTTCCAGTCTCCCACAGAATGCTTGTGTTGGTACTAAGAATTAAACTTTGAACCCTTAAGCTTCGGTTTCCTCTTTGTTCGAGTCGAAAGGACCAGACCGTTCATGTGTGTGAAACGTCAGCCAGCATCAGCTAGTGTACTGTGTCTCGTTCTAAACATAAACAGGAGATATCAGATGTCCCTCCATTTGATATGGGAATACAGTGCCCTCTCTAAGCCATATTAATGGACTTTCCTCTTTCCCATCCGTGGTGACAGTGGACCCACCTCCTGTGGAAAGCTGTGGCAAAGACAACAAGAATAATTCAATGTTAATATGATAACAACAGGTTGTTTACAGGAGAAAAGTGGGCAGAGAGATTTGCTTTCTACAGCCTTTCTAGTGTCCCAATAAATGAGTGAAAAGACACTCAAAATATCACCAGAAGCAGTTGATCCTGCTGGTTCTCCCCTGCGTTATTCGCCCTGTGAGATTTTAGTTCAGACATACCAGCTCGGAATAGAAAGGGGAAGAAGACTGTTTCTCTAATCAAATACTTAGGCAATGTGAAGAATCTTCAATTATCTAATTTTATTGAAGGGATGGTTTATATCCCGTAGCCAGTGATGTGCAATCCTGTGATTGTTTTAAATCCCTTAGAAGAGATCTGACATTATGCTCTGCATGCTGTACAGCGTGAAATCACCATGTATATTTCACCAAGAGATATAACAAGAAGAATAGCCTCCGCGGTACGCAGTCATTTTATCCCAATACGCTGCAACATGGTTTTTGCCCTGGGGCAGAGAAGTAGGATTTTTTTTTTCTCTACTTCAAAAGAAAGAAAAATTATCATCACTCCATCCAGAACCATTATAGACTTCAGAGACTTTGGCATGAAATATTCAGAAAGTTTATTTTAGAATTCAATATTTTAAAAGCCTGCTTTAAAACTATTACAGTGATTAGTGGCTTTCTTGCTTAGGCCAGTCTTTGCTTTTAAAAGCCCTGTGTTGTGGTTGATACCATTGTTTTCTGTAGAATGTCATTTGCATCAACCACCCGTGCTCCGAAGGAAGAAGGCGTACCCTGCCTTGTTTCAGGATGTCCCCAAGGGAACCTGGGACCATGCTCCTGCGTTCCCCTTGCAGATGTGCTCTTTAGTAGGCGCGTCTTTTCCTGCTGGTCCAGCCGAGGAGCTGCTGCTGGCCGTTTTGTGTTCTGGCTGTGCCTTACCTTAACCACCTAGAAAATGTGTCCCTCTCTGCTGCCCGTTCAGGGAGCAGAGCCACGTCTCCGAGGTTCCGAGGACACCCCCTCAGAGGCTTCCCGTACCCTTAGTCAAGGGCTCACATCTCCGCCACTCCTCATAGGAATTTGAAAAGCTTAGTACGCCTGTTGTGTGGATTTAACAGTGATCCCACGAATGCGAGTGAAGCCAGGAAGGAACCGCGGAATCGTGCTTAGCCATGCAGGAACTCCCTGTGTGGCGTTGATTATATAGGGTGGCAATGGCAGGAGGCGGTGGAGCCCTGACTTCAGAGTTTCACGGGCCTTGATTGAGTTGAATTTTAGCTGCTCTCTATCAGTGTGATCCGTAGAAAACTTTCAGGCCTCCTTAAGGCTCAGTAGCTCTATATATAAACTGGGTCAACCCCAGAATTGGTGTTAAGATTCTGCCGTCTTGGGGTATAAAGGCAGAGGTGGGTAAGACATCAAACTTAGTTACCATCACTGTTGGCTGCTAAAACAATTTTCTCTTATTTATTCATCTCACATTTTTGTTATAGGATGTGTTTGTGTATATATTATGTATATAAATGTAATATATATGGGATCACTAGAACAATAATTTTTCCTACTTTTGTTTGAGACAGGTTCTCATATAGCCCAGGCTAGCCTCACACTCACTATGTAGATGAAGAGGACCCTGATCTTTTGATCCTCCTGCCTCCAGCTCCCTAGTGATAGATTATAGGTGTTGTACCTCTGTTCCCAGTTTTCTGCAGTGCGAGGGTGAAACTCAGGGCTCCGCACATGCTTGTCAAACACTGTCGCCCCAGCTGCAGCGTATTCCTCCCTTTCTTGAGTAACATACGCATTTAGATCCATCCCTCAGAAGCATTCCATTGTGTTACTGTGGGTTTTCATAAATCCCCCTTCTTTCCTCTGTACTTTAGGTGTTAGTAGAGAGGGAAGCACAGGCATCAGCCTAGGTCTTCAGATAGGGTTGACTCCTCCCTCATGCTTCATGCAGAGAAGGGAAGGTTCCAGAATGCTCTTGATACAGAGGTGCTGACAGGAATAATGTGTAAGTAACTTTCCATGTTGTTTTCCAGGGAAGCAGATCAAGACTCAGACGGTCACGTCAGCTTCCGAGACTTTGAGTATGCCATGAACTATGGACAGGAAAAATGAAGCCGGATGCTTGTGGAAAGGCAGTTCTGGACAGACCAGTGAATTGTAATCTAGGTGAAGGTCACACAGAGCTCACTCTTTTGCCGTGCTGTCTGCTTATGAGTAAACTCTTCGTCACAGTTTTTGAATGCTGATATTGGACCTAGAGGTAGGAATCTCTTTCCATGTGTCTAAGAGCCCTGAGTCAGGCTGCCGTTGCTGGCCCCTCCACCCAGTGGTTTTTCCTTTCCACTCCTGTGAGCTCTGCATTCTTCATACTGTGAACTGGAGACTGTTCATTCCACTCTTTGCCTGCTTGGGTCCCTAGCTCTTATCAGCTCTGGGGAGGGTTAGCTTTGGCCTGCTAGTGGTGTCATCATCCTTCATTTGCTCAACATTGGTGGAATGTCAAGCTTACTGCCATCTAAGCAATGAACAAAAAACAAAGGCCTCTCTTATATAAAGTCTCTGGAGCGCACATCAGGGGGTGTACAGAACACAGGAATCGGCTGAGACCAGGCGGCCAGCCATTCTTTATGCAGAGAAAACCAGAATGCAATTGGGGTCTTAATGGACAAAAGGGTGTGATTTGGGGTTCTTTTAAGTAACCTGAACCTGGGCTTCCTGCTTTGGAGACACTCGCCTGAGCTGGCCAACAACCCTCTGCTGCATACTTCTGGCTCAAGGAAGTTTAGCTGTGCTCTGCTCTTGAAGTTCAACCGTCCCAAAGTTGGGAGTCTCCACACCCTACCACATCCCTGGGATCCAGTGACTGCTTTCCTGGAGCAAACTGAGACACTGAGCATATAGCATAGCATCTATTAAAAATAATTCATAAATACTGATCTTGCCATTTTAAGTGTTCAGATTTCAGAACATTAACATTTGTAAAAGAAATTAATGTAATTTGTTTTTAAAGTGCTAAACATTAAAAGATAAAGTAAAAATATAAATTTGTGTAGCAAGCATTAAACAAGCTTCATGCTCATATAAATTATTAGCAGATAGCCTTAAGAAAAATAAAGCTTTTAGCTGTGATAAACCAAAGAAACCTAAGGATATGGGATGACTAAATGTGATTTGTTCCTCTAGATGGGCCCCTAGGAACATACAGTAGAGATGAATGAAGCTCAGGCTTTTTCTGCTGCTTGTAACAGTGTGGGAGACTAGGTGAGGGCCATGCAGGAACACCACTGTTTCCATGATTCTTCTGTAAATCTAAAATGATCCCAAAACGGAGTTTGTTAAAAATTAAAGGCTTGTTCAAACATTCATAAACTAAATGAAGAAGCAATGAAAATCATTTCTCAACATGAATGAAATATTACTCAAAGACAGAAATGGTTGCGGTATCATTGAGATGTGTGTATGATTTTGTTCACAGTATTCCAGTTTGACTTTTCTCAGCAAGTGTTCCCATCATAGTAGACAGACTGAGCGAGTCATTGATCCTGGTCTCAAAACATAAAGGAGAGATTTTAGATTTCTTAACTACAAAAATCAACAAACAAAAAACCCACTAATACGATTTATTAACAAAGCCATTCTTTCAGTAATGGCCAGAGTCCCAAACTTCTGTTTGGTGCTCCTATCTGTCATCTGTCTGTTCTGAACAAGATGACAAGGGAAAAAAAGGAGTTACTTCCATGGATGTAGGAAGCAAGAGGTGAGTCTGGGAATGTCTATTGAGCAACTCCGTGATTCTAGATTAACCAAGACATTTTATCTCAATGACAGAAAACTACCCAATGAGAATTTACTTTGAAAAAGGAAAAAGAAAAGAAAATCACTGAATTAACTTTCTGAGACCTAAGAGAGGGAGGATGGGGTGCAGCTGGGCCTCAGGATCCACACTAGCACCTCCAGAGTCCTCCCTTCTTCCGTAGTTACCAACAGCATTACACCATCTTCACGAAGAACTGTTCCGTGATCCAACCAGATCCAAGTTCAGAGCATCTAGGAATAGGCTCTGACTGACCCCACTCAACTCTGGTTCATCCAGAGGGTATGGGCAAGTCCCCTGTGGGTACTCAAGTGCATGCGGCCAGGGCTGGTCATAGAGGAAGGTAACAACCTAGGCAGCCTTTCTGGTTGGGACCTTCTAAGAAGGTTCACATCCCTGAGTTTGCTACTCAGGAGCATCCAGGCTCTCTGAGGAAAGAACAAAGAAAGGGTGACAGAGAAGCTGCCCTTACCCCTCACTTTTAGGATCCATCCTCTTCCTTGTCTGGGAGGAGCTTTCCCCATCCTCTCACTTCCAGAACCCAGCCCCCACACTGCTGCCTGTGCAGTGTGACCTTGCTGGTCTTACCCCAGCTCGGTGACCTCACATAGGCATCTATTCATGCTGACGAACTCAGTCTCAGCTCTTGGAGGACATCGAGACTGTGCCTGCATTTAGGTGATCCTCTGCATGCCTGAGCAAGGGACATGACTCAAGAGTGGGGGGCAGCCATGCTTTCAGTCACGTGGTCTGGAAAATCCGAGCAGCTGGTTTGCAGTGAGCAGAGAGGGGCTTAAAAATAGACAGTGGAGGGAGCAGTGAGAGAGAAGCAGCCCTGCGGTGCTTGGTTTCTGGTTAGAGCTTATGTGCGAGACTCAGTCACAGCCCTTTGGGTCCTGTGAGGTAACTGCATCCTTCCAATAAATCTTTCCGCTCCAGCCAGCTGGAGTGACTTTCTGTTATTTGAAACCCAGAGAGCCTTCACTTTTGTGAGCTTCCAGCCAAGGACAGAGTCCTGGGTGACATTAGCATTTGTAGGGCAGAAACAAAAAAAACTAAAAGCCCAGCAGTTGAAGATGGGATTGATAGTCCCGTCATCCCATCCCAGCCTTTGAGCCCTTCGCTGGTCCAGCTCCGGGTGTCCCTGCTACTGCAGCCTTCAGAGCAGTCGCACCGGTTCCTCTCAGACCTCAGCTCAGATCCCTTCTCTTGGGTCTGAGGTCGTGGCGCAGCCTTTGGAGTCCTCTTGCAACCTCCACGACAGGGCCGTCTTGATCCTTCTGTACTGACCTTTCCAGTTGCCTGTCCCAGAACCAGTCTATAAGTGAGAGGATTTTCCCAAGTCCCGTAGCTGGCCAGTCGTTCTTCATCAACATTCTCCAAGGATGATTTCAGCCACTGCCAGGAGTCCGGTTATCGCCTTGATTGATACGACTCCATAAACAAGGCTTTATCTTTGATCGTGACCTCTGCTCAACTCCAGGCCTGGTTTCCCTCCCCAGTCAGACGTCCCCACCTCGGTGCAGACTCGCTGAACTAAAATCAGACGCATTGTTCCCCCAATTTTCAAAATTGTTCTCCTAGCCTGTGTTTTCTATTTCTGTTGATGACAGCCTCCCTGCCCATCCCCCACCCAAGCTGTCATCCAAGCCAGCTGCCTCAGAGTCTCCCTTTCTCCCCATCTTGCTTGGCTCTGACAGTCAGTCACCAGATCCTGTGGACCATGTCCTTGTAAATTCTTCCTGATTTTTTTTTTCCATTCCATCCTGATCTTTCTGCCCAGGTTCTTAATCCCGGCCAGCTCTTCCATCCAGTGACGTGTTCTTTTGTTTATCCGTGTAAAGATGAGCACAGGGTACACAAATACTGCTGTCAAGGAATTTTAGTCTGGCATGTCAGGGACATTCCTAAAGCACAAACAAAATGACCTTCTTCTACTCAGGAGCTTCCAGGGGCTCTCTTTTCTGTTGGACAGTGCCTAACTCTGTTGAAAATGCTCACTCAAAGCCTTCTATATTAGGTATCACTTTATGTTTTCAGTTTTGCTGTCCATGACTCCCCCTGCCACATCACCCAGCAACCACAGAGACACAAGCACAGTCCCGTCACCTAAAAAACACAAAAATTGCAGCAAATATTTACGCGAAGAAGAACAGTAATAATCTCAGGATTAATATCTGATGAGATAAGAAAGTGAAACAATAAAAAAATAAAACTTAGGGCCTTGGAAGATAGCTCTGTCTGTGCCCACAAGCATGAGGACCTAAGTTTGATCCCCGGAACGTACCTTTAAAAGACCAGCACTAAAGAGACAGGATGATCCCCAGAGCTTACTTGCCAGTCAGCCTGGCCTAACCAGTGAACTTAAGGAATGATAGACCCTGTCTCAGAAAACAATGTTTCCCGAGGAACAAGACTAGAGGTTGACCTCTGGCTTCTATGGCCCCCACACATGTGCACACATACCTATATGAACACACACTCACAAATGCACTTATATGTACCCCCAAAAAAGTAAGAAAGAAAAGAAAGCAGCCCAGGTATGGTAGCACAAGTCTTTAATGCAGCATTTGGGAAGAAAAGAAGCAGAATTGCTTTGTGCTTGAATCTAGTATGGTCAGCATACTAAATTCCAGGCCAGCCTGGGTTACTTAGGGAGATTCTGTCTCAATAAATAAATGAATAAATAAATAAAATTTCATTTTTAAAAATACATTGAAAAGTTGAGTGTGGTGGTCCATGCTTGTAATCTCAACACTTGGGAGGTACAGTCAGGAGGACCATGGGTTCCAGACCAGTTACATAGCTGGGCTAAAGCTAAACAAGGCTACATGAGACCCTTTTCTCAAAAAAAGAAAAAGAAAAGGAATATAAACACTAACTATTGGTTCACCTACATCCTAAGGAACATTTTTTTCTTTAGTTGTCTTTTTATAAGAGACTAATGCTGGGTATTTTATTTCATTTTATTCTATTACTAAAATTGTTGAAGTAAATACCCGCCCCCGCCCCCGCTGCTCCCTCTAGTAAATAAGGAAGCAGTCTCAGAAAGCAGCTCAGGCCAAGTTATAGGCGTACGTGGAGAGAGTAAAGGTAAGGTAAGTATTCTAGCTGATCAGCTTACAACAGACAAACTATCTCACTTGGCTGTAACAGAAGCCCATGTTCTATAGTCACGCTTCATTTGCAACCCAAATGCAGTGACCCAGGTTCATTCAGTCCATTCAAGGGTTTCACGTGGAAGGTGTTCAGAATCAGTTCCCATCTTGTTTACCACTAAAGAAGTAACCACAGTTACAGTCAATTAACAACCAAACTCAGCTATAGAGACCATGGATGGAAGGTACTCTAGACCCTGGAGCCATTATTCAAAGGAAAGTTCTAGAAATGCTCTGTACAACAGAAGCATCTTCACATGGGTATGCATTCCTGCTAAGCAACACTTCTCTGGCATATAAAGAATAAATAATACATATCCCTAGTCGTCGTACTTGGTATTCATAGTATAATTCATACATCTAAGACTAATAAAAATGAGCTTTGTTACTTTTCTTGACATCTAACTTTTGAAAAATTTGACAATATGGCATTAGACAATCTCTTTCTGCACACACACAGATTGAAATTCAGAGGCTTTGGTGAAAGTGATCGGTGGGTAGAATGCTTTCCATACAAGCATGAAGCCCTGAGTTCAGTCCCTAGGACCTGTGTGGAAAGCCAGTGTGACGATGTGTACCTGTAACCTCAACACTGGGGAGAGGGAGTCAAGAACACCCCCAGGGCTTGCTGGCCAGCTAGTCCAGCAAAGTCAGTGAGCACTGGGTTCAGTAAGAGATACTGCTTCAAAAACTAAGGTGCAGAGCAGTTAAGAAAGCATCTAATGGCAACCTCTGACCTCTACACACACACACACACATACACACACACACATACACACACACCTGCACATACACGTACATGGACATGAACACGTGCACAAAATAAATAAAGAAAAATGATAATTTTTAAAAAGAAATCCATTGTCATTAAGCAGCTCAGAGTGACTTTTCTTTTGTAAAACAAATTTAGCTTGGGTTGGCTGTCAGAATTGAAAATAGCCCATAAACAATCTACCACAATAAAATATAGTATCTCATCTGAATTCTCTTATGTTAAATTGATAAAGTAGTTAGAAACATGAATAAAGTAGAACATTGTTCTAACTTCAGAGAAAAGTACAGATTAGTCTCTATGAAAATATGAGCTAAAATTGAGCTACGGCTCCTACTCTATGCTTTACCAATTCTTAAAGACTCAACTGAGAGCAAAACAGTTAAGCTTTCTAAAATATATCACTTCAAAAGGAGTCATTCCAATAATATTGAATTTATAGAAAAAAAATTGACCAAGGGACTGGAAATATATTAAACATATTGTCATAGCAACAGTCATTGGGAGGCAGAAGTCAGGTCTGGACATCTTTCTTATTTTGAATAAAAAAGGCAAGCTTGATTTCAAATGACTTTTCTAAGGTCAGATGTCTTGGAGATGTTACTTGAGTCAACTTCTTTAACAA